TTATATATGGTTAGGTTAATGTGAGACGACCTAATTTTGTGAGACCGTGAGACGCAATCCTAGCCATTCATTTGGTATAAGCTTAGGTACCAAACTCACTGTATTACGTCGTTTTGTATCATATATACATTGTAACTGTCCAATGTTCTTATAATTCAACTTCTAACTTGATTTACTTTCAAGATTTTTATAAATTTCATATTTATCTTTCTCTTACATAATTTTAATTTTCAACTATAATATATATAGCCTAGTTGGTGTTCGGTAAAAAGATGTGATGTAAAAGGAAGATTATAACGAAATTTTGAAAATGTTGAATGTAAATAAAGTTAGGGTTGAAGTTTAAAAACATTATAATAAATATATCAAACAAAACGGTGTATTATAATAAGTTTGGGTACCTAAAATTATTATAACGCCCTTGAGGTATATTCACTTTCCATATACAGGGAAAAGTGAATATTCTTAACGGTATATACCCTAACTAAAATCCGACGTTGTTCCAAGTTAATCGGTCCTTTTTCTGCCTCGTACTCGCATGTATCAACGGAGCCACCAATCTTCGGTAACTCGTGTCCTCCGCTACCTATTCCACCAGGAAATTTCGTCGAAATAGTATGTTGGAGGTGATTGTTGGGGATTTGAATCAACAATGTGCAATTCGATCGTCCAATAGGTGCCCACATCAAGTTTTCAATTTATTTATTCGGTTCAAGGAGTCACAGTCGACTACCGTTCCAATTGGTTCGCCATTTACCTGATTGCACACCCATGAGTTATCCAACCAGGTTCGTGAAATGCACTCTTAATCCGAAATAAAGCAATATCATATTCTTTTCTTCTTTCCCTTGTATACTGTGTATATAGTGAGTTAGGTCTAGTGGGCAATGTGGAATCAACATCATTACAGGAAATTATAGGCTAAATTACTGAGTAATTCTATAACTACCTACCAGGTGTTCGATTAAATGCCCCAGTGACATTTTCTGTCTATATTGCCCGAAAGGAATATGCTCTTATTTTTTCAATGAGAGTGATTAGTAGAATTTTGACATGGTTAATATGTATGTGTGTGTGTTGCAGGAATGGAAGTTTTGGAATGAAGGAAGGTCCCCAGAACTGATGGAACCTGTATTAGGTAACTTAATCATTTAGGAGGATGAGGTTGTAAAGTGTTTACATGTTGGTTTGTTGTGTGTCCAAAAACAGCCTGAAGATCGGCTTATAATGTCTGAGGTGGTTCCCCTTTCATTGCACCTTGTTGTTTCACAAGGCTCTTCTTCTCATTGGATTTTTAATGTGATTCTTGATTGATTTTATTTTATATCGAAGGGCAATACGCATCTTCTGTTGCCACACGGGCACCCATGCTGACAATGAAGTGTTTGATGAAAGAACCCAAACACAGGCCGAGTGCTGATGAGTTGGTTAAAGCATTGTAGCAGATTCAGGAGTTGAAGAAATCATTGGAGAATGTTAGAATGGAATCAGTCAGAAAAGAGAATTGGAATGGGAATGGGAAGTGTGATTCCCTTTAAAAAGAAATTTGATTTTCATTAAACAGTGCAGATCATGGTTAGAGTTTGTTTGAAGGATAATTGTTTTTAGAGATGAACTTGTTAATTGTATCAGAAGATATAATGTGAACATAATTCGAACATCACTTAATTAATTCAAGCTCAAGTATTAATTTCTGGCTATTTTGGTTATTTAATTATTGCATTTTAAGAGTTTTATTTATATACCTTGTAAAGAAATGAAAATGATTTTATATTCATTTTATGCCAAAAAATATTAGGCCGTTAATCATCTAAATCGGAAGTTAAAATTCAAGCATATAAAAAACTGAAATGAGATCAAACAATAATCATCTTGAGGATTACATACCCTCTTTGGGACAGGGGCAAAATCGTCCAACAAGGTGAGAAACCATCAAACTTGTGTGTAGATTAACACAACACTAACCATAATCATGGACATGGACATGGACATCATTATAGAAAAGTTTCTTTTTTAACCCAAAACGACAACCTGCTTTTATTTTTAACCCATAATTACAGAAAAAATTTGTTTTTAACCCAAAATGATAGCCTACTTCCATTTTTAACACAAAATTGCAGAAAAGTTTCATTTTTTACACAAGATGACAACCTACTTTCATTTTTTACCTGCAGTTGCAGCAACATCAAAGCAACAAACATTTTTTGTTTAGAAATTAATCAAGTTTGACCATTCAAACATAATCTGAAAGGAAAATTGATTTTATCATAACAAAACCATCTGAAATTTTGAACATTCCAAAATATTAAAAATACTCATATCATAAAACTAGTCTTAGCATAATTTGTTTTAAACAAGAAAAAAAATTAAAGTTCAACACATAAGAACAATCTTGTCTCGTTCCCACCCGGGTGCAGCTGCGCCTTCAACTTGTGGTACTAGAGAAACAACAACCTCCCACACATCACCGCCTGAGTTGATTAAAAAACCAAAAAGTATAATTAGAAAAATACAAATCACATCTTAAAAAAAATCAACTGAATTATTATGAATCATTACCCTCAACCCCTTGTTGGACGATTTTGTCCCTGTCCATGACAGCAAACAACAGTTGCTTAATTTATTGAGTTTATGAAGGGATATAACATGTGTGGATGTTGAGTCCTGTTTGTGTCTGGTCGGGAGTCTTTTGGATTGGGCTTCTAGTCTTTTGCTATTTTCCTAAAACATCTTTTAAGTGTACCTTACATCAAGAAAAAGAAAAAAATTTAAATTAAAAAAATAAAAAGTTGTCTTCTTTTAACAGCCCGTATCAAATGTCCATGAGGTAGAAAATGAAGTAGATAAAATATTAGGTTGCAATTCCATGCCCTTAATTTATTCAAATATAAGGAATACCAGCATCATGAAATGAGAATCATATACAAGATTCAATGATGATGAAGTCATTATTACTCACTCCATATAGAGAGCCATATTAGAAAGACTTGAAGTTATGATTAGGAACATAGCAAACACAACCACTACAAACATCCAAGTATTGACAGAAATGATAATTATCATTTTACATAAAAGAGTGAACTGAATCTTCTATATTAACAATTTCAAACAATGCTAAATCTAGTACAAATAAAACCATGTCCATGAGTATTTAAGAAGAACATCATGAAGAAGAGCCTGCAATGAATGGTCCTGATCCTGACTTTCATAGATGTAGAATTCCATAATTCACATTTCAAAAATAAAAGAAGTATGTAGGTTAAGAATTTGAGTTTATTTATCAAAGTGAGATTCCATAATTCATATAGAAAGAGCTGATGGGATCTCAAAATTATGCTACCAAATTCAACTATTACATGTGTTTGACTACATCAAACTCTAGTTTCAAAAAAATCAAAGAAATATTGGAGAAAGAATCGAGTAAGCATTCAAGTTCCAGTTTTCTGAATTTGGGCATTTCATCGAGCACCTTATGTGCACAGCTTACCTTCTTCCTCTACTAGCAATTTAAATGAGTAAAGTACCATACCTGACCAAGATACACAATCACAAGTACATTACCTTCCTATGGTGGAGTGGAGACAGGGGGCTTCCAGCCTCGTCTCGTCGGGCCGACCTGAAGATGCCTTGCTTCGTAGGTGAGATAGTCGGAAAAGAGGGGAAGGGCTTCGATTGTATACGATGAGGGCTGCCCAGATGTGTGAATGTCGAGGCTAGCGCTGGAAGAGACGAAGATGTATGAAGTAAATCAAAAAACATGTTTGTGGGATTAATCGGGAACAAACCATGTGAAATCAGAAAGATATCTCTGTGTTTAATGATATCAGTCGATTATGGAAATTGTTATTTTTTTTCAAAAAATTAAAGGAGATATCAAAACGGTGAGGTTTTGTAGATCGGGTATGTAACCTTATATACCTTAAGGGTACATTCATATTTTCATATATATATATATATATATATATATA